ACCCAGTTCAGTTGAGTATTTCCGGGTGGTTTAATCCTGGGTTGGTCCATTATTTCCTTGTGTTTTGTCTCTGATTTAGTTCAGTATTTCTTGGTGTTTTGTTCTGAATTGGTTAAGCATTTGTTGGAGTTTTAGCTGCAGTTTAGTGGAGTACTTCTTGGTGGTTTAGTCCTGGTTTGGTCCAGGATTTACTGCTGTTTTAGCTCTGGTTTGGTCTGGTAATGTCCTGGTGTTAACGGAGGCATAAGGAGAGGCACTGTTGTTAAACACTTGTATCTGTTCCACACTACAGTTTTTATTAAAACAGTGTAATAATAATGTTTGTATCATGTTACACAGGTGTGAAACTGGGTCTTTTGGCCTGTTTGTGTTGGACACCAGTGTTAGAGCAGGTCGTCCAGTTTTTTACTAACACACTGAGGTCGCCCCAGTATCAGGGACCGGAGGGTCATTGTACAACAGCCACTCGATGAACAACATGGTGTTGTCATTGTTGTTGTAGCTGTAAATGAAGTGCACATGTCTGCCAGAGTGTAGAGTACGGTGTGCGGTACTGCCACATGTCACTCAGACACACGCGTGTAAACACAGACTGTAATTATGAGCCCGGCAGATTTCCAGCAACACGTCAACACACTGTACACAGCCGGGGTATTTATAGACCTCTGTACTGCGACTGGTTAACTGCTCCCTGTCTCCCGCTGATCTGGAGTCAGAGCTGATCCCTCAGAGTCTGGGTGAGCTCACGTCATCAGAGGTCAGAGGTCAGGGCTTCTTCATTCATTAGTGTGTTGAGTTACTGATATGTGCGACACACATCAGTGGTCCTGTTCAAGTCACTTGTTACTGGTTTGTGCTGGTTTTGGACTGGTTTACCTGACAACAGGTTAACAGACCGACGTTATTTACTTCACTCTGTCCATCGTCGTCTGCTTCCTGTTATTCTTTCATTATTTTTCTTCTTTCCTGTTTTGTTGTTTTCCTTTTTTAATCTTCTGTTGATTACCTACTTGTTTTTGTTGTCTTTCCTCTTGCTCCGTTTTTTTCTTCCTTCCCTCTCTTCCTCTGTCTCCCCTTCACCTCGTCCATCACTCCTTTGTACCTCCGTTCCCTCAATTAAATTCTCTCCGGTCTGGATGAGGTTTGGAATAGGAATGAGTCTCGGGTCACCTTGTGTCTGTGATGATGTCATGGATTAATAACCAATCAGATCAGTCTAGATTCTACCCGACTTTGACAGTGTGTTGCTCTTTAACATTTAAAAAGTAAAATATTTTATCCTTAAACTCCCATTCATCTGACAGTAATGACTTGTATATAAAGAGCTGTTGGCAGGTTATGTAATGCAATGGTCAATAATATATTCAGCTTTGATAGATTTTGATTGATTAACTGCACTAATATTAAGGAGTACATTAGTTTTAAAAGAGGCTTTAATCAGGTTTTTACCCTGTAAAATTTAGTTGAAAGCTAGTGTTGAAGGAAAAACTGAAATTGGCCTCATGTTAAACAAGAGGAGGTTCTTCTGACTCCTGGAAAGGTGCTTGAGAAGGTTTGTGAGCTCCCTGAGAAGGTTATAAGTATCAGTGAAGAGCTTCAGGTGTTTTGGTCCTTGGGGAGGTCCTGGAGGTTCCTGTTGGGGTTCCAGGGTAGTGCTTGGCACTAACTGCCAAAACCAGCACTGAGGTTGGGGACATCCCTGGGGAGGATGTAAGGCTATGAGAAGGTTTAATGGCCCATGAGGAGGTGTAAGAGGCTCTGAGGGGGTGCTGCAACCCCCCACATCCATGTTAGCAGCAGAATAATGCCCATGATTTTGAGATCAGTGTCTACAAACATTTGGCCACTTGCTGAATATCTGACATATGATAATGAATTTGAATAATTTTGAAAAACATCAGCTAGAGGCTCATTAGTATGAGCTCTGTTTGTGTTGACACTAATGAAATAAAGTGCACGTTCTCACAGATGCTAGGGTTTCCATGCATTTTCCACAGGGGTCAGCTAGCTAATGCTGACAGCTAATGCTAACACCTGTCTCTGCAGAAGTATCGTTACCAAGATGATGAGACTCCACCTGTTGACCCTAGCCCCGGTCACGTGACCCAAGGACGCAGCACTGAGCTGAGCCACGCACACCTGGATGGATACACACACCCTGCTGCACTCACTGTATGTATACACACACACACACTGAGGTCATTACTGTGCACTACCCTTCAAAGAATTCAGCTGTCAGTCAAACTGTGTAGGTGGGACTTTTCTGGCTTCAAGAAGTTTGTAAGGAGGTTTGCAAAAGGTCCTTGAGAATATCCTAGAGGTCAATGAGGAGACTTGAGAGTGCCTTGACAGGTCCGGGATGAGGTTGCACAGTCCTTCATGAGGTTTGGAGATCATGACAACACTGAGGATGTTCCAGAGTTCTTTCAGGTGGTTGTGGATCCTTGAGAAGGCTTGAGAGATCTTTGAGAAGCTCCCAGGGGTCCTTGAAGAGGCCCGTGTGGTTTTAGGGGGGTTTGAAAAGATTACTATTGTCCTTAAGGATATTCTGGGTGCCCCTTGATGAGGTTTGTGAGATCAGTCAGAAAGTCTGCAGGTCTTCAAGGAGGTGGTGGGGTCCTTGGGAAGATCCTTGAGCAGAATATGATGAACCTGTGATAGTTCTTTGAGGTTGTTCCAGGTAATTGCTTAATACTAAAGGCCAACACCATGCAGTGAGGAGGCTGCAGAGCTTTGAAAGATCCTTCAGAATATTGTTGGTTGTTCCACCAACAGGAGGCAGCATCACTGTGTTTAATGAACATGTGTTTACTGTCACAGAGATACCTGCACTCTGATCTTGGTCAGTACGACACCTGTGTAAGACATATCTTTGAAACAACACTGTAACTGTGTGTGTGATCTGCAGCATAGAGTCTGTTTCTCTCCAGCAGAGGACACTGTCCACTGCAAACTGAGCTCAACATTTACCAGGAATTCAGTGAATATAGCTCAAACTAAACTGAGGAACTCTGGCTGAAAACGTCTACAGTGCATATGAGGATGTACGAGGGATTAAAAGGTCATTGAAGGCATCTTGGGGTCCTTGAAAAGGTCTTTGAAGAGGCTCAGGGGCCTGTTCAGCCTGGGGCGTGTGTCAAACTTTACACAGTGAACAGATCTCAGACCAGGTTTCCTGGTGCGTGTCAGTGATGTGAGCAGGTCTGAGGTCAGCTGTGGCTTTGTTACTCACAGAGATCAGTGGTGCAGCCACAGCACTCTGAGTCACTGACGGTCTGTCCTGGTGACGACCCTCACTGACCTTGTGCACCCCTTTACCCCCCAGCCATCACCCCTGTCTAAACACAACCCTGAACCTAAACCTGGTTCTACCCTGAACCCTAAAACCAGGTCTGAGCCCTCAAACAGCCTTTGAAGGTGTGAGGAGGGGACAACACGTCCTCACAGCGACGGAATCGAGCAGAGATTCGTCCACAGTGTAGTAAAGATACGTACAGACACACACACTGACCAAACACACACACACGTAGGTGTGGGCTGCCCATGCCCACTCTGAATGTGATGCATCCCTCTGCTTTTATCTGCTCGGCCGTCACCATGGCAACAACAAGAATTCTAGGGAGGGGAGAGGACAGGAGAGGGAGGGGTGAGGGGGCATTGCTATGGCAACAACAGTTGGAATGTTGGTGCGTGTGTGTGTGAAATTATTATTTTACTCTCTCTCCCTTTTCTTTTTATTCTTAATCTTCTCCTTCTCTCTCTCTCTCTCTCTCTCTCTCTGTCTCCCCCGGCCAGCGGCCCAGTGACATCACAGAGGGGAGGGGATTCCTTTAGAGAGCAAGAGGGCGAGGTAGAGAGACATAGAGACACAGAGAGAGAGAGAGCGATGTGCAGCGGAGCGTCAGCAGGGTCGAGCAGAGAGAGAGTGGGCGAGTGTAGGAGGAACGAGGGATGACAGAGAGGGCGAGCGATTAACAGCCTCTCCTTTTTGTGTGGAGGATTCGTTCGTTCATTCGTCTCGTTTCTCTTCATTCAGCTGAGGCTTCGTGTTACATATCTGGTCCCCCGTCTCTGGGCGAACAAGGGATGTGCTGAGCTGTCAGTCATGTCTGTGGCTCGCCACTTCGTCAGGTGTCGTCCCTGCTGAGAACCACTTCTCCACCTCTCTCGCTGTTGTTGCTGGTTAATTATTCATCCGTTGCTCCACCACCCGTCTTTATGTAACACCGGTGCTCCTGCAGAGGGACAGGAGTGATGTTTGTGTCGGTGTGGTACGCCAAGAAGATGGGACGAAGATTCATCAACAACGTGAGGAGGGCGAAGAGACACCGACAGAGGATGGTAGGACGTGTTTCAATTAGTCCTGCACGGTAAATCACAGGCTTAATTGGATTCATTAACATGTGTTTGGCTCAGCAGAGGAGGGGGAGGGGCCTGTTGTTGGACCAATCATGATGTAGCAAGGTGAAAGTTTCAGTGACCTGGCTCCGGCTGGAGGCGGGGCCAATGTTAAAGACAGGAAATTGGAAAGCTGAGACCTTTCTTAGTTGACGTCCTTCTCTTTGCTTGTGTACCTGGAACTTTGGGATCCAAGTATCCCAGAATGCACTGCACACAATCCAACCAGCAGTGATGGCGGAGGCTTTGAGCCTGGCTCTAAGCACAGTTAATATGTCAGTTAATTAAAAGACGCAGCCGGTGATTTTGTATGTGTGTGTTATTGTGCACAAACCGTGTCCAGAGACCAGCAGGACCGGTGAATGTGTGCAGAGAGAGTGATGTGTGTGAGTCCAGACCCTGGTCCAGCTTATCACTCTGTGCCGTAGACCTACGCCGTCATTTTCAGGGTGTCTCATGACCGTCGTTTCCTGGGGAGGATTCTCACAGGTGCTGCAGATTTCCAGCACCGTTCCATCTTCTGCACTGAATCAAAGATTTGATACTCCTGACTCTAAATGCTGTTTTTACCTGACCAGTTCAAGTTAGATGCGTTCCATCTTCTGCACTGAATCAAAGACGTCTTCTCCAGATCTGATACTCCTGATTCTAAATGCTGTTTTTATCTGACCAGTTCAAGTTTGATTTTTCACCATCAGTCGGTTGGTTTCAGGCTGAGATATCTCAAGAGTTACTGGTTGGACTGGGATGAAATGTGGTTCATTCCTGTCCCCTCTAGGATGAACCGTACTAACTGTGGGGACCCTACTCATGTCACACCATCAGCAGGGCAGCATGTTAATGTTAGGTAATGCAGACTTTCCCCTCAGCCTCGGCTGGACACAGCATTTACTGCTATTAGCTAACATTAGCATGCTAACCTGCTGCACTGTGAGCATGGTAGCCACTACACCTGTTGCATCTGAAGATGTTAAACCTTCCATCTTTAGACCTCGTGGTCCAGTTCCTCTCAGGCTGAAGCTGTATGTGCAGTGCACATCCTCCCACGCAGCCACACAGCACTGTGACACACGTGGAGAGGTTTCCATCTCAGCACTGATGTTTCTGACCTTTCTGTGCAGCACAACAGCACTCTGCCAGTGCACTCATGAGTGGTCGAGGGACATAGACTCAGAGAGAGAGAGAGAGCGCTATCATGGGAAATGAGGAATAGGTTTAATTAATTCAGCGAGAGCTGTAACACACTCTCTCTCTCCTGCTGTCAGTTTACCTCTCTCGCCCTCGCTCTCTGTTATATAACTCTATGTGTTTGCTCTCCTGCAGACTCTCCAGGGACAAACAGGATGAAGTGAACTGTGTGTTGTAGCATTGACAGCTGCTCGCCCCCTCGGGGACTTGGACTGTGTTACGGACAAACGGGCTTCACCTCATTCTAAACCTTTATGCTTGACTGCACGAGACATCCTGGTAACTGCAGGCAGTGAACCAGCTGTGGATCTGTATGGAGGCGGGAGCACGCTGATGCTAGTGCAGCGCAGACATCGGCCCATTAGCATCAATGTGTCCTCTCAGCTCGGATGTTCTACACAGTCTGATAACCCAGTGACAGCGAGACAGAATGTGGTGTCTCAGCTACACCCCCCCATGACCCTCTGCTGCCTACGATCCTCCTGTTGTTACTCCAGCTTCTCCACCCTGTGTTGTCATAGTTTCGTCCCCACCTGCCACCTAGCGACAAGTGCACGTACAATAATTGCAAGTGCAGAAGTGTCACCAGAGAAATGTAGTTAAATTCATCATTTTGACTCATAGCTGATTCTCTCTGACATCATTAGGTGGTTGTTATATACAGCCAGCCAGTGGTTCCCAACCTAGGGGTCGGGCCCCTCCAGAGGGACCTGTAGAGTCATTTGGTCCAAGCTCCACCTGCTGCACCAGACAAGAGAGTAGTTTCAGTGGTAGTAACGTAGACATTATTTTAATTCTGGATTAACAGGCTATAAAAATGCTCAGCTGCTGAGTGTTATTAACAGTTTATGGTCAGGGTTTGACAGATGAGTGTTGGACCTGCTCCTGGCTGCAGAGGCCTTTGTACTGAGCGGGAGAACACCATACATGTCCATAGTCTTTGGTGATGAAGGCAGGTGGTACAGATTTACAGCCAGGTGAGGCTGGTTTTACCTGCTGCCACACTGCTCTGTGATTGGCTGTCTGCTGAGTACTGTTGAGGTCATTTGATGGCAGTGTCAGAAGTTTTAGTGTTGCTTCTAAAGAGGAGAGCGGCTGTGGTCACCGTGAGCCAAGTGGATTATCTTTTATGGCACAGATCTGAAGGTCTACTGTAATCGGTGCCCACCAGCCACAGGATGTTGTTGTTAGCTAAGCCTGGTTAAGATCATCACGGGAAAAATATGGTCGATATCAGAGTCCTGATTCCTCCGACTCTGAGTTTCAAGTCGGGGGGTGACATGAATGGTTTGTCCTGCTCGGGTTAGGGTCAGGGCTATAACTACAGCATGTGCTACCATATCTACCCATAAATGAACATTAACACTGTTCATACTCCTGGAGATTGTCTGATTAACGCTCAGTAAATCTCATACAACAGCAGAAAACAGGTGTAGCTGAGTGTGAGCGGCGTCATGTGCTCCGAGTGTTGGTTGTGGGTTCTGCTACACTTTGGTTTGTATTTGGATCCTGGATGTAAATAAGTCCGTGATGGAAGTGAGTGTCAGTGTTTGATCTTCACTTAAACCTGTAAGTAACTAAATGTTTCAGCTTGAAACAAATTTGACTCGTCGTCTCTGCAGGAAGTGATGTAATATCCATGTTCTGGAGCATGTGACTGTGTGGATGAGATGGTCGCTATAGCTACAGCTACAGTTTCCTAGGTAACCGGCCCCTGAGGGCTGAACAGCTGTTACCATGGAGTTGTCATGGAGACAGGTAGTCAGAGAGAGTGATGCTGGATGATGTGTGTAACCCTTTGTGTTTGTGTTACAGATGAACGGATCTGAAGGAGAGCTGGAGTATGAGGAGATCACACTGGAGAGGGTGAGGACGCACACCGTAACACACATGGTCAGACACGCACACTGTGAGAGACACACCATCAGACACACTGTCCAGAAACAACCTGCTCTGTTCACATAAACTGTCACTCTGGGTTTCAAAGCTGACTTCACCTCCAAAATAAACTCCACCCGTCTGACATCAGCAGCTATTTTTAACCTGCCGCTGCTTATTTTGGGAAACATTTTAGAATCAAAGCAGCTGAGTCTGAACTTCCATCGGTGAGGCTGCAGATCTGCTCTGGCTCTGAATCGACAAACACTCACAGACTGTCGGAGCTGAGATGTATAATTACATGAGTCACTCATCCTGAGCTCGCTGCATATCAAACATGCACACTGTTCAGACTGTGTCCACGGAGCTCAGTTCACTACTGACGTCTCTGTAAGACAATACACTGAACTCTTTCACAGTCTCAGCTGGACACCGGCTCATTCTCATGGCCATGTGTGTGAAGGTGACTGTTTACAGTGGTGGACAGTAACTATGTACATTGGTTCTTTGACGTTAATACACCAGAGTAAGATTTGTCCTCCGTCTACTCGGCTGTAGTTCAGGTGGAAATGAAGTACTTTTTACTGACAGATAAAATAAAAGTCTACTGTCACTTCAACAAACTGTCAGACCTCTTCCCTTTTGTCACCTTACTGTGATGTAAATGTAATTTTAAATGGGGAAAAGCACCGTTTTTGCCCATCGGCCTAAACAGAAGACGGCAAAGTGGAAACATGATTCTGGAGAGTTAGCTGGTAGAGGCTCAGCCAGACTGCAGCCGGACCTGCCAAAGGGGATCCTTCAAAGACCTGAACTAAGGCTCTGAGTTCTTGATAGTGAGAGAATCAATCTGCTGCTCAAATGACTCGTTTTTAAATGAGCCCAGTCTGATCAGCGGTGACGTACGTGGTCTCTGTAACTGTAACTGTAACTCCCATGAGCCCAGTCTGATCAGCGGTGACGTACACGGTCTCTGTGTAACTGTAACTGTAACTCCCAGTTCACTCTGTTACTGGAGGTGCTCCACTCTCCCAGGGCTCCTGAACTACACACTAAATATCACTAACCCAGTCTGTTCTGCTGACACCGACAGGTGTGAGGGTTTTTGTGGCGGTTCATCAGAAACATTGCATTCTGGGAAGAACCAGCAAACTGAGCCTCTGTGTGTGTTTTCAGGGTAACTCTGGCCTGGGCTTCAGCATCGCTGGAGGAACCGATAATCCTCACATCGGAGACGACCCGTCCATCTTCATCACCAAGATCATCCCTGGAGGAGCCGCCGCCCAGGACGGACGCCTCAGGTACGTCACCATTAAGACATGAAGACCCTGGTTGACAGGATGCAGCCCTGAACCCCAAAAGTCCCAACCTGTCCTCCCTCTGACGGTTCAAACATCTCTGTCTGTCTCCAGGGTGAATGACAGCATTGTGTTTGTCAATGATGTGGATGTCCGTGAGGTCACTCACTCCATCGCCGTGGAGGCGCTGAAGGAGGCGGGGCCTGTCGTTAGGCTGTACGTCCTGCGACGACGCCCACCGAGCGAACGCATCACACAGATCAAACTGATGAAAGGACCGAAAGGTAGGAAAAGAGACAAAGAGACAAGGAGACAAGGAGGAGAGGAGAGGAGGTGTAGAGCTTTCCTTGTAGCAGTGTGTTTCTGCTGCCCTCTGGTGGACACAGTATTTCTTTTTCTTTTTTACTGATCTCAGAGATGTTTACACACTCACAACTTCAGTGTTTCTAATGGTTAATGTACTGTGTTTGAGAGCTTTGTTACGGACTGTGCCGTCCCTGTCGGGTCCAGGTCTAGGCTTCAGTATAGCCGGCGGTGTGGGGAACCAGCATGTTCCTGGAGATAACAGCATCTACGTCACCAAGATCATCGAGGGTGGAGCGGCACACCGTGATGGACGGCTACAGATTGGGGACAAAATACTGGCTGTATGGAGAAACTCATCACATATATAATCCTGTACCTGTTACATGACTGTAGTATTCACAGTACAGCAGTACTCTGGTCTCTACTGTAGTACAGTGGGTCTAAAGGTTGTGGTCTAACCTGGAGTTTGACCTGTGCAGGTGAACCACGTGTCTCTGGAGGACGTCCTGCATGAAGACGCTGTATTGGCCCTGAAGAACACAGGGGAGGTGGTCTACCTGAAGGTGGCCACACCTACCTCGCACTACATCCACCCCGCTGACCGCTACAGCCCCCCCGACCTGACCAGCTGTACGTACACCTGTAACACCTGCTGCAGAGGCCTCACTATGATGCCTGACTGGTGCCAACAGGTTCAGGAGGCCAGTGTGTTAGTGGTCAGCTCACAAGCTACAGTAGTTCAGTGTTAGCCCTGGTCAAACAAAAAGCACCTGTATCATTCCTGTGAGTTTACCTGCAGTCACTTCACCTCCCAGACTCACCTGGGTCCAGATCTGAAGCCACAGATAAACCAGGATGTGGCTGTAGTGAGGCCTGCACATGCAGCACTTTAGTCTCTCCTCTCTTGTCTCTGCAGCCTACATGGAGCCTGACTACATGTGTGATTACCCACAAGCCCTTCCTCCTCCATCACCTCGACGATACTCGCCTATCCCCCGCGGCATGATGGGAGAGGACGACTACTCCAGAGAGCCCCGCAGAGTCTGTGTGCAACGCGGGTCGACCGGTCTGGGCTTCAACATCGTGGGTGGAGAGGACGGAGAGGGAATATTCATCTCCTTCATCCTCGCAGGAGGACCAGCAGACCTGAGCGGAGAGCTCCGGAAGGGGGACCAGATCCTCAGTGTGAGTACACAGACCAGGTCCTCAGACCAGATCCTCAGTGTGACCAGTGTTTGTAGAGGATCTTACTTCCCTGCTAGGAGTCCTCTGAAGCCTCCTGTCTCAGTTCACAGGAGTGAGGAGCAGATGTAAACAGATCCTGAAGAGCTAATTTGTGGTTTGATGAATATTCTGTCAGACGTCTGATCATCAGCACCGAGAACCGTGTGTTATTAGTGTCTAGGTAACTAGTAAGTGTCCCATGTTTTGACTGAGTTTGTTGGTACAAGCCTGTGTGTGTGTGTGTGTGTGTGTGTGTCCAGGTGAACGGTGTGGATCTCAGGTACGCCACACACGAGCAGGCGGCAGCAGCACTGAAGAACGCTGGGCAGACCGTTACCATAATAGCACAGTACAGACCTGAAGGTGAGCGCACACAGTAAAACACCAACAACCAGTAGCAGGTCATCGTGGCCCTGATCGTTAACATCAGCTGTGTGTGTGTGTGTGTGTGTGTGTGTGTGTTGGCAGAGTACAGTCGCTTTGAAGCAAAGATCCATGACCTGAGGGAGCAGATGATGAACAACTCGTCTGGGAGTCTGAGAGCCAACCGCACCTTCTATGTCAGGTAAGCCGGGTCCCCACCCCTGGACAGGTAGGTCACCTGGAGCAGGCCACATCAGTACGTCTCTGTATGTAAGCTTGGTTCACAGAGACACGTTCAGGTGAACTCGTCCACAGCCTCTGAGGTCTCCACCTGAGCTACCTGAGTATAATGATGACATCATCAGTATTAATGTCACATGTGGCTGTTGTCAGGGCGCTGTTTGACTACGATAAGCAGTGGGACTGCGGCGTCCTGTCACAAGCTCTGGACTTTAATTTCGGGGAGGTTCTTCACGTGCTGGACAGCGGCGACGACGAGTGGTGGCACGCCAGGCGGGTGAACCAGCAGGGGGAGCTGGAGGAGCTGGGCTACATCCCGTCCAAACACAGGTAGACACAAGTATGCACATCCATATGACTGCTACTGCACTGGAGTGTTGGCACACTTCTGATGTCTAACCACCAGTGTGTGTGTGTGTGTGTTTCAGAGTGGAGAGGAAGGAGTGGTCACGGATGAAGAGTAAAGGTAACGTGTATGACACACGACCACGGAGGAAGGAAACAGGCAGCACACAAACACAACACTGTCATTCTATGTCTGTGTTTTTGTCCTCACAGGCAGAGAAGGCTTTGTTCACAGCTACGAGCTCGTTACTCAGATCAAAGGTCAGTCGCCTCTTGGGCCTCAGAAAACTCCTCTTTTATTTTCCGAACCCTCAATGAATACGTATGTTAAAGGTCAAAGATCTCAGAGGCAGGACCTCGACAGAGGAGTCGTCTTTTCCACTGGCACACAGTACAATACATAGATGGTTTCAGGTTTGTCTGTCAGCGTGAGCACGTGTAAATAAAGTTTTACACCCCTCTCTTTCTCCAGTGGACTACGCTCGCCCTGTCATCATCCTGGGGCCAACCAAAGACCGGGTCAACGACGACCTCCTGTCTGAGTTCCCAGACAAGTTTGGCTCCTGCGTCCCTCGTAAGTCTCCGGCTTCCGATGCTAAAACCAGGAAACATCAAGTGAACAAACAGGAAGTCACCGATCTAAGTCTCTCTCCGCAGACACAACGCGCCCTCAGAGGGACTACGAGGTTGATGGGCGGGACTACCACTTTGTGGCGTCACGGGAACAGATGGAGCGAGACATCCAGTCGCATCGCTTCATCGAGGCGGGGCAGTACAACAACCACCTGTACGGGACATCGGTACAGAGCGTCAGACAGGTGGCCGAGCAGGTGAGACTGCCGGTTACCATGGAGACCGTTCTGAAGCATTATCATCAGGGTTAAGGTTGTAAGGTTACGGTGTTCATGGTTGATATTGTATTTTTATAGTGATCTCTTTAGGATGTTGTAGTTACCATGGTGATGTTTAAAGGGATAAGGCCGGTGAGTTTGTATGTTTTTGTTATTTCCCACAAATCCAACCCAGAGACCTAAACCGACAATGTTAGTGCGCTCACTGTTTCAACAACCGGCTGGAGCAGGGTACTCTGTGCAGTGAGAGCAGCTGGGTGTGGTGGGTGGGGGGGATGACACAGACAGACAAACTCACCGACCTCATGCTTTAAAGATATTATGCTTTACATAGTGGTGTGTGTGTGTTGACCAGGGGAAACACTGTATCCTGGATGTGTCGGCCAATGCGGTGAGGAGGCTGCAGGCGGCTCAGCTCCACCCCATCGCCATCTTCATCCGACCTCGATCCCTGGAGAACATCCTGTAAGTCAGTGAGGTCATAGATGTGTCACATGACAGAGGCTAAAGACGTGACGTGCTAGCTGCTGTTACACCTGGAGTTTAAGTTAAAATAACTGACGCCTGAATGTACGGTGTGTGTGTGTGTGCAGGGATCTGAACAAGTGTCTGTCAAAGGATCAGGCAAGGAAAGCTCTGGACCGAGCCATCAAACTAGAACAGGACTTCCTGGAGTGTTTCACAGGTAAAGACTCAGCACCTGGACACATGTGAACTTAGATCTGTTTGAGATTTGGTGTTAACTGCTGTGTGTGTGTGCAGCCATCGTGCACGGCGACAGCTTCGAGGAGGTCTACCACCTGGTCAAAATCGTCATCGAGGAGCAGAGCGGCCCTTACATCTGGGTCCTCACCCATGACAGGCTCTGATTGGTCATTACCTGCCACAGGTGCTGTCTCCCAGGAACCCGACTGAACCCTACTGTATGTTTTCATCATTTTTGTTTCTTTCTATGGAAGGGTGACGAGTGAGCGGCGTGACTGGTTGGATGCTGTAACCGTGCCAACCAAGAGATGGACCTGTCTCATTCTCCACCTGTCTGAGCATCAGAGGAAAAGAAGGAGACAGACGGGTGATTGATTAATTATGTGTTGATTCAATAATCCTGTATTATCAGTAAATAATGAATCACAGACTATAGAGTTCACTTGGTACTGAAGTATTTATATCTTCATATTTATTGATTTGATCTATTTATTTATTTATGTGGTGTGAAAATGGTGAGTGTGTGTGTGCGTTTGTGTGTAGTGTACATAAAGACTTGTGTGACTGTAAATAAAACGATGGGGCTCAAACACACAGTCTATTCAGGGCTTAAAGTATCCAACAACTACTGGACTACATCGCCCATATTCCACCTCTGCCTGGACTACAACACCCACAATCCTCTTTTACAATGCCTGAAGCTCCAAGGTTTGGGCGACAGGAGCTGCAGTCCCTGTCTGTCTGGACTACAATGCCCTAATCCCTCCTTTACTTGCACTACAATGCTCACCCCCACCTGACTACAACCCCCAGGATCTATGGCTGCTTAGACTACAGCCACCCTGATCTGGACAACACCCTAAACCCTCTCTGTCTGGACTACAACATCCACAATCATTTTCTTCTTAGACTTAGACCTCACATATCTGGACTACGACACCCACAGTCTCATTCTGTCTGGACTACATTCTCCCAAATCCTCTTCACCTGGACTGTGACACCCTCAGTCCCTCTGTGTTTGAACTACGATCCCCAAACTCCCTCATCTGGACTACAACACCCTTCTTCTAGACTACAACACCATCAGTCCTCTTTTGAGGCAGTGGACAGTTCGAACAGTTTTTACCGATTGCTGTCTCTCAACAACATGCAACAACAAGGAGGCAAAACTAAAGACTATTTCATTTTTAAGCAGAAGGCTTTGAACTACATTACCCACAGTTCCCTGCTGTGGTGAAGGATTATACCACCTACGACCGCACAGAAGGACTACGTTACCCACAATTGCCAGCTAAAGATTTTTGAGGCACAGCTGTGGGTCTGTGCTACCAGTACCCATGATCCCCTGCTCCTGTTCTATGGACTCCTTTACCCACACTGCTTTGGGAGCTCACACACATTTCCTGGAGGAGGGGCATGTTGTGTGGCAACATCAATGACAGAAAGTCGTGTGAACCATGGCAACTGGGACCAACGGTGGATCCAACATGGCCACTGGTCTCTGATGGTTCCAGTGGGATTTCAGACTGAGTATTAGGGTCATGTGATTAATTATAGTACTAATAAAAATGATCCTAATGATTGATAAAGATTATTGATCGCACTCACGGTAGTATTTTCTGTATGAGCACTGTCACAAACCGTCTGGACACTGCAGTACATGTGAGTACCGATGACCCTGACACACACTCCAGTACCGAGGACACTAGTGGTTTCATGACCTGTTGTATAATGATACCAACTAGTTATAAATTAAATTCAGCTGTTGAAATATTGAAATAAATTCCTTATAAAAGCAGAACCTGACCTCTGTCTGATTCATGTATTGATACAAACTGATCATCTTAAATATTAATAAAATGACTTGGATGTTAATAGTTAATAACAAGGTGTTGAACGCCGACACCTCGTTCAGACGGAATTAAACCAATAAATCACCTTAAATGCTGATTAAACCTCAACACCCACAGTCTGGCCTAAGAAGTGCCAGACCGACATGTTGAGGTAGTTTATGTAACCGTGTCTTCTGGCCTTTCTGCTGTTCCCCCTCCGGCCTCCAGACTCTCCTTCTGTTTCCTGTCACCTGACACACCTGTCCCTCACTGTGCAGCTCCGCACAGATGGTCAGTAACACAGCGAGCTCCTGTCTCTCTGTGAGTTGAGTCCTCCTGACATTTAAATCCTGTCCCTGCATTTTAAAGTCAATCTGAGTTTGTTCATCCCTCTGCTGAATTTAATCGGCTCAGTGTTAAAGTCTAAAATATTTCTGCTAGCCTGATGCTAACGCCAGCACACAGGCCTGTTTGGGAACAGGTATGAGGACAAAGACCCTGCAGAAGTTCATCACAGGTCTGTTGTAACGTCAACTACAGCTACATCCTGCTCTTGTCTTATGTCTACACCTGCTCTGTGTCTGTGTGCTGCTGCTCCATGAACAGGACTCTGAATGAACTCGTCATCATGAATGACTTTCCATCACGTGCGCTATTTTATTTTTAGGATAATTTAGCAGCTTGTAGTGAGTTTCACCCTTTGAGACAGTTTGACATTCACACATGTTTACCAAGTTGGTTTAATTTGCTTCTGCTCCTTTTCTCAGTGAATCAAACAGACAAGATGGTTACATTCAACTGTTTGGTGTCTGGTCCACAGAAGAGTGGCCGGGTCCGACAGCTCGGAGGGAGATGGAGGTCAGTGGGAACACCTGAGGTCAGCAGCTGAGCCACAGCTGTCCTCCAGGTTTTGGAGCCTTGTGGTCCCCTGTGTGTCCTTCAGTGTGCATGTGTGTGTG